CGCTGTATCTTTGGTGCCCCGCGTGTCGACCTTCCAGCCAAGTTCTGGGGTTGCAGTCGTGGAAGGCTCAGCCGGTCGGGCAGTTTGGTCATTGACCCCATTCTTGTCAGCAATGGCGAAAGGCCGGTGGCCCTGCGTGGGTTCGTCAAGGCCTGTTGGGATTGGGGGGAGACCAAGGCCAAATCTGGCTTTGGAGACTGACGCCGTAGGCACCCATTGAAGAGGCCTGTCCGCCGTAGGCGCTGGCGGTGGCGGGGCCTTCCCTTGGGCAGCAGCTGAAGGAGGGTTGGCAGGCTCAGCTGGACGTTGCGACCACATGTTTGAGCGCTGCGGTGGCGGACCTGGCAGCTCTGGCACCGTCCGGTTGTGGCTTGACTTGAGGGCGTGGTGGGTGACCCAAAGCTCGTCGGGAAACTTTAGCCTGCGTCCATTGCGGTCGCAATACCTGCAGGAGATCCAGTCAGGATCGTCAGGATGTAGACATAGTCCACGAGGGGTGTTGCGGAGAACCGCTTACTACTACTACTACTACTACTACTACTACTACTACTACTGCTACTACTACTACTCCTACTACTCCTACTACTCCTACTACTCCTACTACTCCTACTACTCCTACTCCTACTACTACTACTACTGCTACTACTACTACTACTGCTACTACTACTACTGCTACTACTATGACTACTAAAGCTACTACTGCTACTACTACTACTACTGCTACTACTATTGCGACTGCTACTACTGCTACTCCTACTACTCCTACTACTCCTACTACTCCTACTACTCCTACTCCTACTACTACTACTACTACTGCTACTACTACTACTACTGCTGCTACTGCTACTACTACTACTACTACTACTACTACTACTACTACTGCTACTACTATCACTTACTCTTTGGCTACTGACTACCTACTACTACCTCGCTACGGCGTAATGCTACTATTACTTCTACGATACTACTACTGCTACTACTACTGCTACTACTTTACAACGACTACTATAACTGCTACTACGACAATTAACTTACTATTACTTTATCTACTAATACTGCTCCTGCTACTTTGCTTTTATTATTATAGCTTACTATACCACTATACCACTGCTACGTACACTACTACTCCTACTACCAATACTAATACTAAGACTAATTCTATATTACTTATACTAATACTAATACTAATACTAATACTAATACTAATACTAATACTAATACTAATACTAATACTAATACTAATACCAATACCAATACTAATACTAATACTAATACTAATACTAAATACTAATACTAATACTAATACTAATACTAATACTAATACTAATACTAATACTAATACTAATACTACTACTACTACTACCACTACTACCACTACTACCACGACTACCACTACTACTACTACCACCACTACTACTACTACCACGACTACTACCACTACCACGACTACTACCACCACGACGACGACTACAACAACAACTACTACGACTACCTGTCCTAGCCCTACTACTACCAGTACGATGCTACTGCTACAACTACGACCCCGGATCCCACGACGATTACGACGACTGACGACCTTTAGCACTACTATTGACGAGTGTTGACTACTGCCACCAGGCCTCCGAGGATTGCAAATCTCAACAAGTTATGAAGTCTGAATGAAACAGCACCCCATCTCCCAAAATGACCGAAAGTCGCTTTAGCAAACTTTGATCTTAAGTCCCAAATACCCCAGGTCAGTGCGCAAGATCCAAATCCTGGGTGCCTTGAGCGGCAAAGCCACACGTCGGCAGAGCGCCAGGGCCCGAGCAGGAAAACATTGCCAAAAAAGTGTGAGTGGAATTCACGAGATGTTTTCCGTTCACTGCAAGCACGCCGGCGTCCTCCTGCCGACGAGGGCTATCATCGCAGGAAAGTGCTAGTGGCTGCACAAAAAGAGCGGCTCGGTTACCACTGCACATCAACCGCATCACCACCACCTCATCTTCGCCATCTTCGTTTTGATGCGTGCCGCAAGCAACAGCAGCGCACAGGCACAGCTCCAAATGGGTTCCTGGCATATGAGCCCAGGTTGCAGTTCGGAAGAAGGCGAAGGACACAAAGGAGCCTCACCCAGAGCTTTGGTCCCGCGGTTGCGGTCTCAATGCCGATGCCTTGGAACTGTCAGGAGACACAGGTAAGTTAGCCGCCAGTGCTTCCGTCTGTGTTGAAAATTCCTGTCATCGCGTAGGAGAACAAGATCTTCCACAAGGCCCAGAGCGGGGAAGCGAGCAGCGAGAGGCTAAAGACATCGCCCAGACGGCCGTCCGCTCCCATGAAAGTCAGTTCTTTGACAAGCAAAAGCAAGCATGAAGGTATATGTTACATTCCTGATTTGCTATTGTTCCTCCTAGTTCTGCTGCACCTCTTCACACTTATGGAAACGTCACCATGGTCACCCACATGAGGCGGCAGCCCATCAACAATGTGAGGCGAACGAAGCTCGACAACGTCTATGTCACAGATACGAAACACCAGCTTGCACGCAGTACTCCGTAACTGATGCGGCAGGATGATCATTGCGTGCGTCACGATCAAGCCGTTTCCCAACCGACAGGAAATCGCTTTGAACTGCATGTGACTTGCAAACTGTTGATCGCATCACAACCCCCGTCGAAGCCGCAAAACACATCCTTGCCTCAAGCTGCGCCTTTGAAACTCACACCGAAGACTGTCTCCCGACATACACATTCATAGACACACACACACACGCGCGCACACGCACACACACACACACACACACATGATGTGTGTATATATATGTATATGTATATGTATAAGTATATGTATTTGTATTTGTATTTGTATTTGTATATGTATATGTATATGTATATGTATGTGTATGTGTATGTGTATGTGTATATATAGAGATATAGATATAATACGTGTGTTTCATATCACAACATGTATGTTTACACAGACCGGTGCCTCGGGCAGGATCTGGCTAACAACGACTTGATCCTTACTGGGCTGTTGGCCGACGGTGCTTTCGCTCGAGCTTGAATGCCGTGCTGTGAAGTGTGTTATCGTTTCGTCCACCTAAAGGCCCTTCAGAGCATTTCAAGACTGGGAGGGCGGGCTTGGAGCTGTTGGAAGCATCGCAGAATTTGCATGAT